CAGAGAGGAAAGGGGGGGCAGAGAGAGGGGATGACACGCAGCAAAGGCACAGGTCGATTTGAACCCTGGTGCCGCTACAGCAAGGACCTCGGTACATGGGTCGCCAGCTCTACCCACTTGAGCTAACGGGTGCCCATTTGGAGCATTTTGACCAAAAAAATAAAATTGATTTGGAAACCTGAAAATTGCTTCCCAGTTGGAACCATAAAAATAGCAGGTTTTCCTTGGGAACCAAGTGGGCGTGTCCATATTCTACAGCGCCCCTCTGTGTTATGCAACATGATTGATTACCTCAAAAACTAGTTGGAAAAGCAGGCTTAGTTTGCTAGATAGCACCAAGGTCTGAAGAATCTTTAATGGAACAGTTTAAGAACCACAAAAGGGGAAAAGGGCAGAGTGGATGAAGTTCCCATGTGGTGTAACAGCAACAGCAAGAGCAGGGGTCCCAAGGATGGGCTTCTGGTGTGAGTGGTTAGCTGGAATAGCGACACTTACCCAATATTTATTACTTACTCCTTACTCAATATTTTACTATATTCTGTATTGTTAAACCCAATTACAGTAAAAAAAAATTATGAGGCCAGAATGCTGCTACCACACACTGCAATCTTTCCAAAATGCAAATTTCAAAAGCACACTAACAACCCTGCACAGGCTCTGCGACATGGAAATCCTCAGATGATACTGTAGCTGTCCAGGAGAAATCTTGATCATTATCCATTTATCTGCAAACCTTTGGGGCCCTGGTTCCTCCCCACTCAAAAAATATTCACATCATCTATTTCCTTCCAGTTATAGTCCAGACAGCTCTTCTTTTGTCGGCTGCAGCATACAGGGTCATTAAATTAGAAACCCCACCCACCCGGATGGTGTGTGTATGTTGAAGTGCAGGAGGAAAGGATGCTCTAGCCTGTTCAGGTTGGATGTGTCTGAGCTCTACATGGGTCGTAAGGTTATCTCAGGGTTAAGGGGATGATCTCTTTACACAGCTTTTAACAACTGTAACAAGGGTACTGGTCTTTTTCATTCAGAGCTGTGTTAAAGGGACAGTCACCCAAAAACCTGTATGCTGTTTAATCCATCTAGATTCGTTCTTGGTTGTGATGTTGCTGAGTTTGGAGATATCGGCCATACAGATGTCTGCTTCTCTCAGATGTAACAGAAACAGATGGGAAATTGATATTAAATGAACCCAATGATCCTGGAAATAATCTAGTTTGTCCTGGGGAAATTCTTTATTGTATTTTAGCCCCTTTCTTAGATCTACGCCTCAGATCGCTTAGTTTTTTAGATTTAATTAGATTAGATTAGATTCAACTTTATTTGTCATTGCACAAGTTACAGGTTACTAGGCAACAAAATGCAGTTAGGCATCTAAGCAGGAAGTCCAAAGCAGTAAATATGTAAAAAAAAAAAGTACATTATAGATAATATTATTTGAATATACTATGGTGATGTACCTGTGAACCAACGGAGAAAACCTTATAATTGTAGCGCCTCCCAGGGGGGAGGGGGCAAACAGTTTGTGACATGGAGGTGTCCCTAGCAATGCTGCGCGCCTTCCGCAGACATCGCTTGCTTTCAGACAGCCCTCTTTCATTATATCTTGTCCTGCAGACACAGACCACTCGGTATTGGGCCCAGGAGGTGTGACTGTTGGGTTTCTGAAGGATGCCGTTGGCTGTTGGTGGGACTAGTTTTTCATGGGTGTCCACCCGCTCCTGCAGAGTCTTCAGCTGTCACTATCATAAAGACAATAAAAGCCCCCAAAAAATACTTTAAAAAATAAATAAATAAATGCTCCAAATGGTTCAAAACTATGAGCTTGAACCAAAATTGAGTTGGTTCCCTGTTGGTGGGAAAGGCCTATCTTTTACTGTGAGACTCCAGACTATGAACCCCTGACTGATTCTGATTGTCAATTGTACCAGTTTACCAGGTTGCCAGATCTTGCTCCCTGCCACGTATTGCTAGTTTACTAGTGTACTGGAGCAGCGTGGTCGTTGAGGCGGAGTGGTCACGTAATGCGTGAAAACGGTGTATGCATGAGCCTGAGGGCAGGCAGAGAAGTTATTCTAGCACTGGGCAGGAATGACTCAGTTCACCTGTCAAAGAACATCACAGCACGGTGAAAACCCTCAGCATCAGTGAATAAGGACTGCAGTGGCCTCAAGGAAGAAACAAGTCTTTACTGCTGTGTTTATGTAAATTATGGATAGGCCACTATGTTGGTTTGACTTGATACACTGCAAAACATTGTAAATTCAGTGGAATCGACTAATCTTTTATCTAAATTGATTGATGTAAATTGATTTCAAGTTAAAATTTTATTTTCAGACAATTTCAGAACTTAAATTTCATAGATGAATAAATGAAGACAGAGGTGTTTGGAGACTCCAGCAGTGCCGTTGGCAAAACAGTTGTGAATCAGACACAAGTTTATCTCTGCATGATCAAACATAATGCCCCCTGCGGCACAATGCCCACTGCTGCATGGGCAGCACCTGTGACCTCTGAGAATGTCAGTCAGGTACGATATCTGTCTGCTTTGCAAAGGAACTGAAGCATGTTTATGTGATTCTCAGGCTTGAGTCCAGTGTGGGGTTTCAAATCTTTTCCACTCAGAAATCATTCTTCATGTGGTTCTTCTGTGCATGTCTGCAGGGAAAAGTGAATAATTGTGGTGCTGGGGTGACGCCATTCTCTATCTGAGTCAGAGCGTCTGATAGACGGAGGGCTGAGATATCCCAGCCTGCTCAGCTATCTGCTTCTCATCTGCTAATGTATTGTAGTGATTTGATGGTTTTTAGTGTCAGACAAAATAATCAATCCTAAAAATGAGTCATGAATGCATTTAAGCCTTCACAGCCTGCCTGAGCCACAATTACAAGGAGAGGCCACATGTGAACAATGTGTCAGTTTGACTGATCTGGACATATTGTGAGAAACCACCCTGAATCTCTGATGTTGCATCATAACAGAGCTGTCAGAATTCTTCCATATTCCTTAAACCACACCTACAATCTTCAGTCAGCCAATCACAGCCTGTGCCAGAACCAAGCCCCCTGTGAAGTCATAGCCAATGTGTGTGTGTGTGTGTGTGTGTGTGTGTGTCTACTGTAGCTGCTGAGGCCACACAGTGTGTTGGCAGTGGAGGCTGCCTGACTGAATGGAAAAATGTCTTTCAGTCGCAGGAACAGACTGAGCTGTCAATCACTCACTCACCTTCCTGCCTGGACTGAAAAGACACTGACACAAAGGACAATTGGTTTAAAGCACACACACACACACACACACACACACACACACACAAGTAAGCCTTTACATGAACATGATAGAAATATTTCTATTGATTTTCCAATGAATGCTGTAACACATTACCTTTATGTACAGTCAGATGGACTACAAGCTATTAAGTTAAGTTTTAAAACAGCAACAAGACAGTTTACAGACAAACACCACAAAGAAATGACGTGTATGTTGGCGTCCCATGTCTCACCGGTGTTTCAGTTTATCAGAATCAGAATCAGAAATACGTTATTGACCCCGGGGGGAATTGTTACAGTTGCTCAAGGTGCTCACACAACATTAAAGAACAATATCTAACAATATATCTAGAAATAAAAAATATAAATGTATGTATCAGTAAAATACAAAGTAAGTCTAAGTCAGTAAGTATAAATCTAAGTAAGTGTATGCTACAGTATATGACCAACAGAAATGTAATGAAAAAATAGTAGCGAGTACTGATAATGTTAATATGTTGACATCCTTAAAAGACGGCAATATTAGTGACAGAATAAGCCAAAATATTACACATTAACCAGAGAACATTACAGGCACCAGTTCAATGAGTTCCTCATTTACCCCTTATAAAGTAATTACCACGGGGCACTCTGGTAGCTCATAGACCAGGCACCCCATGTACCAAGGTTGAGTCCTTGCTGCCTGCAGCAGCCCAGGGTTCGATTGTGGCCCTTTGCTATTTTTCCGGGCTTCTTGGCAGAGTCACAAAGCAATAGGTCATTGCAATGATACACCTGGGCCAACATTAATGATGATAGTTTAACAACAACACCATCACGGTGATATTAGCTCTCTGTTTGACCTAAATGGAACTTTAATCAGTATCATTGGTAAGACCAACTACAAATTCATGGCAAAATGGCTACTGTAAAAAAGGTCTATTGAAAGAATTTTAGTTTTTCTTAAATAGTTTTGGATCTCTTATGGTTTATGAGATAACGACGAAGAGCTGTGGTAGGAGGAAGGGCTGGGAAAGAGCAAGCACGAAGGAAATGAGTGTAGAATGGAGCATCGAGTCTTTGACCTTACAACAGCCTCTGTGACTGTGTCCTTGTGATTGACTGTTCACAGAGGGGAGCCGCGTTCAGAGTTCAAATGAAGTTTCAAAGATCAGAAGAGAAAAGCAACATTGAAACAAATGTAACAGAAGAAACTGATGCGAGTGTAATGTTAACATTAGTGTTGCTTATTTGACAAATAGGATTTATTTGGACAACATCAATATTCTGTGCAAATGTCTAGTGTGGCTCTGATGATCCTTTTAGGAGGAAACCAAGGAAAGC